TCTAAAAAATATGAATTGCAATATTTAAATGACCACGTGGGGTTCAGTACATCAACCATGATGACATACCCTCATTTGCTTCTGTAGGTACTCATCAAAGAAGTTCTCCATACCCTGATCCATTTTAATTGTAATGGACGTGTAAAGGGGAGACTCCTCTGGGATGTACCAGCTGTTGCTCCCTCGGATTACAGTGAGGCTGTGTCCTCTGGCATGAAGCTCCTCCAGCAGGAGCTTCATGTTGATCCAGTGGCTGCCATCAACGGGGAACACCAGAAGGTTCCCTCCGTGACAAGAAGGGACAAAGGAAATCAGACCAAAGCTGAATAAAACAAATATTCCACAGACACGAGACAGAGGCATGGTTCCTAAAATACAGGAAACAGAAACATATGCATTTTAATATGAGTTTTCATACATTTATAAAGTGAAAATTCTGAATGCATGAAAATGTTCCTGAAATTCACTCACCCATGCTTGAGAGTGGCAGCTGTAGTGCTGCCTGCCTGCAGACTGAAATTCCCTCTAAAGGATTCCTTACATATTTGAGTTCAAACTCCACAGATGATTGGTCCATAACGGTAAATGAGTTACAATGCATGTGCCATATGAAGCTATGATGCTGCAGTGAATGTTCTGCAAAAAACAACCAGTTTACTTCTTATTTAACATGTTATCGTAGATTTTTCACTGATAATTAGATAATTTTTTCAAACTAGTGTGTGTGATTGTGTGAACTTTCATGAGTGTTTTTCTCTGTCACAGGTAAACACATGTGACTTCTTTCATAAGGCTATTAGTCCAGGTTAGGTAACTTGAACCTTCTAGAATTTCACACATACCATGGTAAAGGGATAGTTGCTCTTTCACATACACATCACACACCAGGAGATGTCAGACGTAATCTCACCTAATGGTAATTTTCAGTTTGCAGTAGGTGAGGGGTGGCAGCTGGGTAGAGCATGCAGGAGGCAGGAGAGTACTGTCATCAACCTTCCCCCTCGCTCTCTCTGAACTCTCCCGACTGCTCTGATCACATATCGGCTCAATCCCTTTGCACTTGTGAGATAACAACATAATGTGTGAAAGCACTTTTATTACAGATGTATTCATGTGTAAGAAGCATTTTATTGTTGTAGTAGTTTGAGGTGGAACAAATTAAAAATATTTTATTAGCCTGCAACGAATGATTATTCTCATAATGGCTTAATCTGATAATCATTCAGCCACTTAAGCAGTCTGTGGCCACCACATGTAGAACCACTGCCTTTTGATGGTTGTCTTGCTTTTGCTGCTCCATTTCACCTGCTGTCACTTTCATTTGCACCAAAGTGGGTGAAATTGATTCGCAATCTCTTGCTTCCTAAATGGACAAATTGATATTCCTGAAGTTTAACTCACTTGCTGTTACACTGTGAGTAATCTTTTTGAGCAGTGTATTTTAAGATGACTTGAACAATGTGTGAGTCCGTTTTCATAATACCTGTTTCTCCTTTCCCCGAGTCCTCTCTGTTTTTTTTTGCATTTCCTGGTTTCTGTAGACTCTCTGGATAAATACAACGGAGGTCTACATTTCTATACTTACAAAATAACATTGGGCACTCTCTGCTGGGTCCTAGTGTCTGCCCATTTACAGTCTCTGGTGATTGGAAACTTCATACAGTGATAGAGTGGAAATAACCCCTGGCACACAGTGACCCCAACTTGTGATAGGAAGGTTGTTTCAAGTAAGGATTGTTGAATATGAGCATCACAGTAACAGGTTGTAAAGGCTTTTCCAAGAAACAGAGGAGAGATCAGGCAAAGTGGGTCAAAAGCGTGAATACCACAGTGAATAAGAGGATCTGTTAGAGGAGCAGTGGTCGAGACAATTCTTGTGTACTGTTGTCTCTGTTTTACCCACTTTTTGGTCTCATACTCTGACCAGAAAATACCAGCCGTGATTGTCTTGCTTTCAGCACAGCAAGCATATGAAGTATTTCTTGTTTTTTTTATATGAATTTGCGTTGTTTTTCAGAAATAGTACCTTTAACTCGGTTGTACTGCTTTCTCTCATACAATCACAACCTCAGTTTTCTGTTCTATTCCATTCAACCTTTAGCATTTGTTTGGGATTTGCACAGGGGTAACATGAACAGTACATTAGCTTCTGCAGCAATAATGACAGAGACTTTCATGTGAAATTATACAAATGTATTGATCTTTACTCTAATCAAAATTAAATGTTCGACAATTCATATAACAAGTTAGGTTTTTTACATCTGAATTGGTTTTAGTTCAAAAATCCCCAACATACAACAATCAGCAATTATATATTTGTTAACCAAGTATTAATCCAAGAAGAAACAGTTGATAGCTTATATTAAAACAGGAAAGAGGCTCTATTATTTTGACAAGGCTATTATATTTTATTTGTCTACATCAGTTAACTGGTTGTCATTTGACTTCATATACAACAAAGATGTACAAATKARATACCTTAGAATGCACAGTARGTTTGCRTCKACAGAGCTTTAGAACCCTTTCTAGCAGATTYTTAACCATTTCCAGATTCATTCAGCTTTGGATTTTRTCCTCCTTCTACTTCTGCAGCACAGTAACCAGAAAACAGCCACAGTAAAGAGCAGCAGTGCAGCTGCAGCAGTCAGCAACACTAACAGAACATCTAAACTGTAGTACGAGTACCAGGGCATCTTATAAGCATCTGTGCGCAGGTGTGCTGCTCCTTTGTGACGGATCACATACTCCACCCAGAAGATAGCCTTATCCATGGGTGTTATTGGCTGATCTCTGTGCAAGCGAGATAGTCTTTGCATGTTCTGTCTGTAGCTGTCCTGCAGGAGCACTTCCTGAAGACCTTGCTCAAAACTCTGGCTGTTAAGTTYRYCMAGYTCAATGATCTTTGCAGCTCCTCTCACCYGCAAACGGACAAGGTTGTCAAACTGGTCAARGAACAGGGGTAWGCCRAGCAYGGGGAYCCCGTRGTAAATGGCCTCCTGGACTCCATTGGTTCCTCCATGAGCTACAAAAACTTTGGTCTGAGGATGGCCCAGGAGGTCCCTCTGYGGCATCCAGTCCACAATGAGTGTGTTGTTGCCCAAAGTGGAGGGAGGCTCCCCTTTGTGCCGCCATATCACCTGATCAGCAAACAAAAAGCATCAACATCCATTTATTGCACATCTATTCATGAGCAGACAGACATTACATCAACAACAATCTGGGAGCGCATCGGCCATCATCTGATGGCAATCTAGCATCTGGTGGCAAAGGCCAATCTATTGGAGCCTTTATTAGTCAAAATAGAAACGGAAGCTAGAAGTCCGTGGTCTACAGATTCTGCATATTCACATGCAGCATCTGTTTCCAGAGATTACAGCAACACAATGGTGTTGCCACCACTGCAGCCTGAGATACACAGGATACTCAAAGATGGCAAATTAAATAGAGAAATTATTTATTTGGTAACATCAATACATTTTGTCATATATCACTCCCTCTGTTTTCCATACCCCTTATTATGATTCATTAGATGCCAAACAGGCTACAAAGGCTATATGTTTGTTTGTTTGTTTTTTACTTGATCTGCTGTCGATTAATTGCTGCATTAAAATATGACAGAGTACGTTACCTTCTGAGGCATCTTGGCAAAGACGCTGGCAATGTCATCTGCAGCCTCTTTGGGCAAAGCTTCCACCATGGTTCCCAGACTCATGATGATCACACCATGCTCGCCAGCACTTTGAACGAACTGCTCAAGGTCCGCTGGCAGAGGCTGAGCTGGTTTGCATTGGAACCCTCCGATGTAGACRACGTTTGGCATCGTGGGCCGAGGGAAATCGAACACAAAGTCTGACCTGAACAGCCATATGTCTGCCTCCTGAAGCAGCGACATGATGTCACATTCACCCTCAATATATTTAGTGCAGGCAACATCGTAGATTGGCCCCACCATRAATTTGTGCTGGAACAATATGATGCCGTAGAATAACAGGTTCTTGACCCTCTGCATGAAATTCATTTTGTCAGTTAAACCCGATCCTGGCACCGGAATATAAGAGAGTGGGGAGGGGGCTATGGCAAATTGTCCGTCTCCACTGCTGATCCAGCGAACATTAAGCACCAGGGGTAGTTTGAGATACTTTGCTAACAGAACACCTGGTGCTACGGCTGGGTCAGTGAGAACAAGATCATATTGGGCGTCCTTTAATCGTTTGACTAGGTTTTCATCATCTAACATTTGAATGAGAGCATCAGCGCACATAGAATGAGCTTTAAATATCATTGAAAGAAAATCCTTTGTGATTTTGAAGGAAGTTAGAAATGAGGCCCCTTCTCTCAGCGCCTGGAAAAAATCATTAGAAAATAAGTATTAAGAAAATCTAACAAGTATAAATTGCAATATTTAAATGACCATGTGGGGCTCAGTACATCAACCATGATGACATACCCTCATTTGTTCCTGCAGGTACACTTCAAAGAAGTTCTCCATACCCTCATCCATTTTAATTGTAATGGACGTGTAAAGGGGAGACTCCTCTGGGATGTGCCAGCTGGTGCTCCCCCGGATTACAGTGAGGCTGTGTCCTCTGGCATGTAGCTCCTCCAGCAGGAGCTTCATGTTGATCCAGGAACTGCCGTCAATGGGGAACACCAGAAGGTTCCCTCCGTGACAAGAAGGGATGAAGGAAATCAGACCAATGCTGAGGAGAACAAATATCCCACAGACACGAGACAGGGGCATGGTGCCTAACATACAGAAAACAGAAACAATTGCGTTTTAATATGAGTTTTAATACTACAGCATGAACTTGTTCCTGAAATTCACATACCCATGGTTGAGAGTGGCAGCTGTAGTTCTGCCTGCCTGCAAACTGACATTCCTTCTACAGGATTCCTTACATATTTGAGTTCAAACTCTTTTGACCTCTTTCACGAGGTTATTAGTCCATTTTGGGTCACTTGAACCAGCAAAATTCCACACATACCAAGTTAAACCTGAAGAGAGACAGGTTTCCTGAATAAATCCTGCTTCTTGTTATGTGCTGCAGTGATTTTCTCCCAGTTTTTTTTCCTGCTGATTTCTATACTCCAGGTTCCTGTTGCCATATCTGTCAAATATAGCTACAATGAACGTTCCAGATATGAAATCTGTAGATTGTAGGAAAGTCCTCTAACATCACTATGAGGATTAGTGGTGGTGGGGAAAACTTCAAATTCTTACCACCATTTCACTAAAATTACTCAATTACCATTTAAGTCCCTACACTAAAAGTGTTTGAACATTACAGGAAGATTTACTTAACGGATCAAATGTTAAAGTTAATTTAAGAAAAAAAACCTGTTGAACTCTGGAAAATGTTTTGAGATTCAGGTCCAGTCTGGAGGTCTAGAGTTGCTCTTTCACATATGCATCACACACCAGGAGATGCCAGACGTATTCTCACCTCCTGGTAATACTCAGTTTGCAGTAGGTGAGGGGTGGCAGCTGGGTAGAGCGTGCAGGAGGCAGGAGAGTAACATCATCAACCTTCCCCCTTGTTCTCTCTGAACTCTCCTGACTGCTCTGATCACATATCAGCTCAATCCCTTTGCACTAGTGAGATAACAGCGTTGCAAGATCACAGTTCGTGTGTGAAGCCTGCAACAAACAATAAGTCTTTAAATGGCTTAATGTGATCATCATTCAGCCAATTGTTCAGTTTGTAAGACCAACATGATTCTGTTTACCAACAGCTAGTCAATTTTATACAGTTGGGCAGTTGCATATTTTACGATGCAGTTTATTTTAAACTCTCTTTCCGTGTTTTGCGTGTAGATTTTTCATGAGCAATATTTGAATGGAAAGTAAATAAAGCAAAGTAATATACAAAAGTAAATACTAAAATTGAGTTGGATCAAACTAAAATATTAAACTTATGTATGCGTACCTTATATATTTTTACTGAGGGCCAAACCTTAAAGCTCTTTTAGGCCTGGTTTTGAGAAGTGCTGTAAAACAATCAGACAGATAGACTCTCAGGTAAGATTTTGTCTCTGAGTTATGAAGAGCCCTCTCATAATTGTAGTAAAGACATTAGTCTTGTTGTTGTGTTGAACTGTGTAGTTATGAGTATGAGTACCAGTACAGAGGATAGGACCAGAGACAGCAACGATCATGAGGACCCTTTTATATATATATATATATATATATATATACAGTACGTTCGGTGTCCCCTCCAGGAAATGCTCTTGAGAAATGTCTCCCCCCCAACACTAGAATGAAAGGTGCAGCCTAAATATTAGTTTCATAGCGGGAGAGGAACAACCAAGAAAAAATAGTTATGTAATCCATACGACTGTGACATTTATGGTGTAAAGTCCTGGGTGGACTTACTCATATTTCTAATTATGAAGGATAAAAAATACTCCACCTCATATAATGATGTCTGCTCTGGGCCTCAGACTCTAAAACTACACTGGGCTGTGATTGCTATTAAACTGCTTCTGAAGAGCAGTGATCTGTCTGAATGATCCAGTGTAGAAAGAGTCTGTAGCCCCTGCTGTTGTAATTCTGATATTTTCATTCATGTAGACGATGATGTCTGTAAAACATTATAAGATGAAAGTGAATGAATGTTAATAGAATAAAATCATAATGATTATATTCACTGGTTGATGCAGAATGGAAATCATGACGTGGAATGACATTACTGACATGACATGACTTGTGAAAAGGAGTTTGTCACTTACCGGACTGTCCTTACTGGCCTCCGCCTGGGAAATCTTTTGGAAGAGTTTATGTATGTATCTTATTGGGGTAATGCTATTAAGCCAATAAATAAGCTGCAGGTCCTCAGAAGCAGAACTTTCTCTTGTGTCCAACCAGGAAAAATGAGGAAACTCTTTTATACCAGTGTTATAACTAGCAGCACAGATTTTGTTTAGTGAACATTGAGCATCTCTATACTGTCTCTGATATATTTGAAGATGACCTGCATAATGTGTGAGTCAGTGTTCATAATACCCTGTTTCTCCTTCCCCTGAGTCCTCTCTGGCTTCTTTGCATTTCCTGGTTTCCTCAGAATCTCAGGATAAAAACAATCTGCATTCCTTCACCTACAAAAGAACATTGAGCATGCTCTGCTGGGTCCTAATGTCTGCCAATTTAAAGCTTCATGTGGAGATAGAGGGGAAATAACTTCTGGCATACAGTGACCCCAACTTGTGATAGGAAGGTTCTTTCAATTGTTGAATATTAGCATAACAGTTACAGGTTGAAATGAGAGATCAGGCAAAGTGGGTCAAAGAATGGAGGTCTACATTTCTATATCTACAAAATAACATTGGGCACTCTCTGCTGGGTCCTAGTGTCTGCCCATTTGCAGTCTCTGGTGATTGGAAACGCCATATAGTGATAGAGTGGAAATAACCCCTGGCACACAGTGACCCCAACTTGTGATAGGAAGGTTGTTTCAAGTAAGGATTGCTGTAAAGGCTTTCCCAAGAAACAGAGGAGAGATCAGGCAAAGTGGGTCAAAAGCGTGAATACCACAGTGAATAAGAGGATCTGGTAGAGGAGCAGTGGTCGAGCCAGTTCTTGAGAAATGTTGATAGACAACAGAAACACACCGATAGAGAATTTAAAGAGGTCAAAAAGGAGACGTCCATACGACAGATTAGTCTACTCACATCTAAAACACACACAGGTCTGATTCTGATACCTGAATGGGGTTTAGTCACTGATACTAACACCAGAGCTCCTTTGGAAAACTTGGACAAAAGTTATGAGAAAATGGGGACTATTGATTAGTCTGTCCAATAAACAAGAGTCATGATATAAAAAAAGTATTTTAATTTGACCGCAGCATACTAAGAATAAAAGTTTTCCCCATGCATCTTTAAAAAAAATATGCTTGTAAGTCAGCTGCAGGAGGATGAAATCCCCAGGACAGTTTTTTTCCATTACAAAATCCATCATCTAGTGGTTTATTGAAGGAGGAAACACTGTCAGGCTACAGCATTTTGGATTTGGGCTTAAAATTGCCTTTTAACATATTTATTTATGTGGGTCAGTATTGGCACCTCATATATCGGATAGATTCCAACGCTATTCACAAAAGAGAAAAGAGGATTTTTCTAAACATAATGAACTTCAACATCCACAGTTCCTTAGTGAATCACAGGATACCACACACACACACACACACAAAAACAAACACAACAAACCCACCCGGTCTGAATTACTCATCCCCAACTCTTCCATTCTAATTACATCAGGTTTTTTCAAGTCTCAATGGAAAATCCATCTCACCACAGCGAACTAAAAATAAAGGATTTCCCCGTGTATCATGTTAAAACAAGCAGAAGGATGAAACCCCCCGCACCATTTCTTCCATGACAAATCTCATCATCTGGTCGTTCATTGAAAAGGAAACAGTGTCTCAGGCAGAAGTCAAAGATCTTCCACACAGCAGAAGCTCAAGTAAGAAATCTTTATAATTTCCACACCCATGATTAGATTTATCACTTTACTGGAGCTGATTGAGGGACGACTCTGCACAGGATGTTGGGTGATATGAGGCAACTTGACGGATGCCAATTATGCTTAAAGAGTATAAATGAAAAGCTCAGAACCACTTTGTGTGCATTGGTTTTACTTGCCCCCCCCCCCCCCACGGCGTTGAGTGGACATCACAGGAAACTCCTCCTCATCAGCTTTTATAGTTTGAGTTCCTTATTTTCACAGGTGATTCCTGCTTTTCTGTCGACCAGCGATAAGACGGAAGGCAACACACCTTGTGCACCAGATTGTAATCAATTCCACCGTAGGTTTAACAGATTCTCATCATCATATGTCAAATGTTTCAGGTAGAATTACGACTACAAAGCGATTAACAGTGAAAGGTAAACAATCAAAAAAACATTCAAGCAGAAACCTACACAGCCGAGCCTGCAGGAGTCATATATCTTATGGAACTGCCTGAGTCTGCATATATATGCAATCTGCCATTACAATATCAAATGAGTTATTTTTGTTACAGTCTGCACAAGCCATTTACATTTGTCAGCAGGGGTCTGGACAGGATAATGGCCGTGTGGAAACTCTGTCTGTCACATGCAGCAGTGAAGGGTCTCTGCAGCCGTGCACATGATGAATGGGAAAGTTCAACACCACACAGAGCTCGGATTATAGGAGCAGATTTTGCAGGAGCAGAAGTTGATTGTGTTGTGTCGTATGATATTTTTTAAATCAATGATTACGCTCATGTGTAACATCAATCTGTCCGGGAACTGCAGAGCAAAATTCATCCTTTGGGCTGAATCGCCAAAATGATCCATCTTCAAAAGACGTTAAAGAATGGAAAGCAACTTCCACAGAAACCTGAGAATCCGAGAGCAGCAAAGGTTCACTGAAGTTTCACAGAGAGTAAGAAAACTCTTTGGCGACAGCAGGGGGGAAAATGTGTTTTTTACGAAACAATTAACCCTGTCTCAGCTCCTGGTTAAAGTCAGAGGGAAGATGTGGATTGAGTTAAGGTTAAGGACAAGGTTTCAGTAAGGCTGAAAGAATGGAAATGTTTTCATAAGGATAGGTGAGCAAACCTGTGTGTGTGTGTGTGTGTGTGTTCGTTCCCTGGGGTGGAGTTGCAGCTGACAGATAAAGACGATAAAATCAAACACATATTCAAGGTACACCCTGATGAAGTTTCCGTCTCTCGTGTGCCAACCTGCTCCAGGAAAAAACCTCCTGCACATGTACCCTCAGTGTTTTGAGTGACAGACAACTTTTCTTTCTTTTGAGGAAACTGTCTTTGTCCTTCAAAATCAAAAGCACAGAGTGACTTTGGTTTTGTTACAGATACAAGGACGCCCTATAGTTTGTTATTCACGTGTGCCGGTACAAATAAAGACAAGCAAGCTGACCTTTCATTTCTCTACAGTCTGAATTAAAGGACAGTTCTCCGAGATGATGTGAAGCTGATTACAGACTCCACCCAAGCCTTTGATTTGTCTTCTCTTTGTTTTAGTTGCTGTTTTAATTACACCTCACAGGACAACTTCAGTTACTGGAGAACCTGTTTTATGATGGAATCACATTGGATCATTCCTCATCAGCACAAAGATACGATGACATCATGCAGTTCATACATGAACAGACAACTTATAAGCCGTCATGAAGTATAACTGTATGTATAAAACCCAGATAACATGAAATATAAATGTAAGAATGGACACAGTTATTTTCCAAATATCAATATTTTCTTAAACTATTATTTATGTCATTTTCCAGGTTGCCTGAATTATTAGAAAACATAACATACATTTTTCATATTTCAATAAAGTTATTAAATATATATATTTTTTAAAGCTGTCAAAGGATGAATTGATAAATGTTATTGTTGCATTTTCATAGTTGCATAGATTTGGTTTAAAATGACTATAGTGCAGTACTCTGCCTGTTTGGTGATGCTGGTTGCCGTTGTCTTTTTGAAAGTGAGCTGCAGTAGTTGAGCTGTGGCGAGTTCAGACCTGCTGCTGAACCCTGACGCTGCTCCACACAGAAGCTCGACTCAGGACGCAGAACCCCGAATTACAGAATTCATTGCTGTTGCAGTTATTGTGAAGGCCCCTGTGATCAACAACTAAACTGAAAAATAGTTAGTCATTCAAATTCATATCTGTATAATCACAAAATCCTAATGTAGCTCCGATCAAAACATATTCAATGAAACTAAATTACTCCCGAGCAACTTTGAAGTCTCTGCAAAGCACTGACAGGATTAGAAATCTAAAAAATCTGCAGGACCATTTGGAAAATGAAAGTGATTCCATGCAAACACATGCAAAAAACATTATTGTGCCTCTTTAACCTGCTCTGATGTCAGGCAGGTTTTCCATTACAAGATGAACTTTTATAAACCTAAATAATTGTCTTCCTTTCTCATGTTTCCAACATGACTTGCCAGAGAATCCTCACATTCTAATTTTTGTGTCATTATTTATTATCTCAGGCAGATAAACCTGATTAGAAAAATATGAAACCATTAAAGAGAAGACACTATATTGCAGGAAGTAGCCTGACATCTCCAGTCTCACCATTACTGTAATAAACAGATGTTTATTAAAACAGATGTCGGCTCATAATTTCCCGACGCAAATTGCTACCAGGAGCTCAGATGTCTGCTCTTCAGCGGAACAGTAACTGAAGACCAGTAAAAACAAACCTGCCTCACCCAGTCAACAAGTTATGGTGCAATCCATCATAGAGTCAACCATGACAAATATAAACGAGTGTCAACAGTGTGGCCTTTTGAACTGTTTCCACAAGGACCCCTCGCAGTAATGGAGCGTGTTGCATCATTTACAGTCTTGTGTAAAGTGTGAAGGTTACAAAGCAGGAGCTGTGTCGCTTTCACTTTCACTGACTGACCGCATATTCGATCAATGAGTCTGAGATGTGTTTTTAACCTGAAGAGAAAAGCAACGAAACAAAAACACCAGATAATAATCATCCTCTGCGTTCAAAGCACACACCCTAGCAGTTTGTATCCTCTGCTTTACTTTCTGCTCCATCAAGTCCATTCAATCATCTGGGAGAGATCAAACCTCCTCAAGGTTTATGATTTCATCCCATTTGGCCATCTACATCACCGGCCCGGGTCCCTCACCGACCTCCGCACGTGTGCATACGAATGCAAAGTCGCTCGCACGTGTCAAAGCAGTCGTTATTTTTCCACGCATAACCTACAATTTGTCTTCCACTCCAGACATGGAGAACGTCAGTGTAGCACTGACAGCTCTCTGGAGAGGCCATGCAAATGCACATCTATATGGTACACGCACACACACAGGCATGCATGCACATAAACACAAGTTGGTTTGAGAATCAGGCCGATTGATCGACGATATCTGATGCATTGCCAGGAATGATTGGGTTATTTGTTTTTGTTAAAACACAGGTTGGACAGAAACTCTGGTCGTAGGTTCAGGTCACGTGCACGGAGGAATGTCTAACCTCGGAGTGAGTTGTGTTATGTTGTTCATTTGAAGCCTATGTTATAAGAGAGTAATTCAGGTTTAAA